ACCCTCTTACGTTTAGAATACCCGAGAGCCGTTTTGGTGCCGTCTTAACATCCGCTATAGATACACGTCCTCCCACTTTCTCTATATCACTTTCAGAGTCGTTTAAACCAACTCTGATCAATGACTTAATAGCTGCTCTCGCTGGGAATGGACGCGACGTCAACTGCGACAGACACGCTCACTGCATCAGTCACACGAAAGGAGATGGTCGGGTTGCGTGAACGTCAGCCTGAATTGGCTTTACTTCTTCAAGAAATACTGTTGAGAGCCTCGTACATGACTTTGGCAGAGAAACTCCATTCACTTGCTGTCTGAAAACTTTTATTTTCGTTTTTACTTGCGGTGGCGACGGCGATGGAGAATTTCGAAAACCTAAAAAATGTACGAAGCAGGGTTAGTATCGTGTATTTGTACACAACAATAGATTACTTACTCCAGGAGAGCCCACGGTGTCTTCAAGTTGGTTCTCCATTTTGGACTGCATCAATGCCGATTTTAATTTACTGCGAACATGTTCCTCGATTTCTTCCACTCGTTTATCTTTCGGTTGCCTTTGCAAGTCGAAGATAGTCGTATCGGAAACAAGACGAGAGCCCAAACGACTTGGTGGCGCATGAGATACTCGACAAGAAGATTGGTGTCCGACCGATTCGAGACAAGCCGCAGCTGACGCAGGTCTCGAGTGCAAGGGCAGTTGTGTCAACGTCCGTAACCTAGTCTTGCATACCATCATCGCCTGTGGAATACCACAAACATTTAGAGGCTTCGTTTGGATCGGTTGACGATGATGAGGTTGCTCCTGTTGACGGGAATCCCGTGCGACTTGAGCCGATCGCAATCGACGATAACGTGACATGATCTCCGCCAGTAGAAGATCTTTTTCTTGTTAAGCCAATTCAGCTCGTACAAGCGATACACGCTGCGATTCCGCTCGATTGGCTGCTTCTTCCAGCCTGTTTTCGAGAGTCAGTACTTGACCCTGTAGCGCCTCCAGACGAGCGTGAAGTTCGTCCAGATCTGTGTCAGACCATGCACCGACACAAATCTCGAGTTGATTGTAAGCGGCTCTCAACAGCCGCCTCAAACGAGTGAAATCACCTTCAAGTTTGCTAGTACGGGAAACGCGGTGATGTTTGCGTTCTGTCTGCTCCTGCTTGTCGTTAGCCTCTGCAGCACACAACGCTTTAAGTCGTTCAAGTACGTGGCGTCGCTCATGGCTGATCCGAAGATTCAGCTGGTCCCCAAATCGCCTCTCGAATTCATACCGAAGACGAATCTCAAGCTCTTTTTGCGTCTCCATTGAGGCGATAAGTCCAACTGATACCGACCCTTCGCTTGCTTTTAGCCGGTAAAATGATCCCAAGATGCGCTTCAAATCCCTGGTATCACGACTTTCCGATGTCTGAGTGTTCGACTCCGTTTGTGTCTCTCTCCACTTGGTCACTTCGTTCTCAAACTCTTTCCATCGAACTTCGATGTTCTGCACACGCTGTAATCGACTCGTTAAGGCCTCTAGGTGGTTGCGGGTGGCGTCTTCTAGTCTCTGTGAATCAACAAGAGCCTGTTCCCGACCCTGTGCTAGAGCCTGCAAGGAGTCAAACTTGTCCTGCAACTGCGCACTTTCATTGGCAGCTTCAACAAGCCTCTTTCCATTGTCAATGAGGGCTAGACGCGCCTCTCCGAGCAGTTTTGTGGCTTTCGCTTTCTCATTTTGAGCTTGTGCTAGAGCGAGTTGCAGATCGCGAAGCCGCTGCTTGTCACTGTCCGAAGCGCTTTCAAGTTCGCCCAGGCGGGTTTGTAGACTTGCCACAGTTTGTGTGGCTTCTTTGAGCGACTGTCGGAGTTGAGGCACTAGCAATAGCTCATTCGCCGTGGACGGATACGATTCCAGACCGCGACTTGTATTGTTTTTGCCGCTTTTGTCTCCATTGGGCCGACTCATACTACCAGCATTCTTGTTTTCGTTATGCGAGAGACTGGAGATCCTCGCTTTAGGGCGAGCTATGGATTGTACCAGGGTGTTGCGTAGCTGTTCAAGCTCAGTGCGCGACGTTCGCAGCGCTTCCAGTAGCTGAGAGTTAAGGGTCTCAAGCGAATCATTAGACGCACGCATGTCGCCAAGAAGCGCTTGTAGATGACTTCCTCTCGCGTTGTGTTCGTCGGTTAACTGGCGCTCTCGTTCAGCTAATATTGCAGCAGCCTGTCGAGCTTCTTCGAGACGAAGACACTTTTCCAATCGCGCTACCCGCTCTACCTCCTTGGTCGAGGCGGTGCGCACTCGACGTAACGTCGCCTCTCCTATCTGCTCGTGCTGGTGGACAGCACGTTGCCCATCGCGCTCAACCTTGGCCAGAGTCTGCGCCAAACTATCTGCTACGTGTGCAGCATGTTTACTGACATTGGTGGCGACATCGTTGAGCTGGTTCGTGAGTACATCTTGAAGTCGGTCGTGGAAAGCAGTGATTTGTTTGCGCCACGCAAAATCTCCACGAATGAATTGAGAGCGGTCGTCAAAGTCACTCTGCAATGACTGTAAGCTCGCGTGCAAACTCTTACTCTCTTGTTGTAACATTAGCTCGAGCTCCGCCTTCCATGATGCGAACGCGAAAGTGGGGGCAGCCGATGAATTATCCGTGGAAGGTTTTGCGGCATCTGGGGAGACATCTGTGTCATTATCCATGCATGGTTCAGCTTGGAAAGTCTCGGTGGCTTCGCTTACTCCGTGGCCGGCTGTCATTTGCAGACGTGTGTTTTTGGTTTTTGGGAATTGGGTTTTAGAATAATGGAACTTTTGGGGTTTGGGAGCTTTTTGGGTTACCCACCCACCCAAAGCACAAACATTTGGGGTTTTCACTGTTTATTTTAGTGAAGAATGGACGGTTAGCTTCGAGTGGAAAACATATTATAGCGTCAACAACGACATGCTCTATTATTGTTGCTGAGATCTGTTAAGAATAATCAAGCACTGTGCTGATCTGCAAGAAACTTAATTTACGGTAAAAACTTAAAACTTGTTTTTAATTTTAGAGGTACGAGCTAATTGTAGCAACCAATCAGAAGAAGGTAAACTAGGTTTTTACCTAAAATGGAAAACACACTCAATATTATCCACCCATGAAAAAAGAATAACCCATTCATGCAGCCAAAAAAGAGCTGGATTTTTGCCAACGCTGTTTGCATTTACAGTGGTCAACAGCGCTTTTTTTACCCTGGCACTAAAATAAACCAATCCAAAGCTACACTTGTATTTGTATACGTTTCAGTGCGATCTGTCGAATAGTTGTTTCAAAATATAGCTATGCCTGTTCTTTATTTTATTCAAGTCTAAATCACAAAGCCTTTATATTCGAATATAAATATGTCATAAAATATTAGATATCTTAAACCTAATAACCTATTTAGTTAAAATAGAAACATATCATTGGCTAAAACAGGGAAAAGTCTAGGAGGCAAGCTACAAAATCAATTTGTACGCTCATTACTTAAGTTATTTCCCAGCCGTTTCTAGCATACACGGATATGCATAAGTTTTGCCCAGCCTGAAAACCGCATAAAAAAAGGTCACTTATTGCTCCAGCTACACAAAATAGCGTCCTCGATGGCTGTCGACCACTGTTAATGCCAGTCCGGTACTGCGGCATTCTATTTTAATAATCTATTAAAAAAAAGATTTTTACATCGACTACTTTAACCCTTTATTCCCCGAAAAAGCTCTGGATTTTATCCAGAGTCATCCGGCGATACCAAATGGACGTGATAGTACAGCGATTTCGTATACCCTTTCGCTCTAAAGCTGTGCGTTGCCCGGGAGATTCTGGATATTATCGAAAGTATTGTACTGCCTCATTGTTGAAGCCATCCTCAAGTCTTACTTAATAAACGTTCATTTCAATAAGATACGCCACTTTTTGGCTATGTGGTGTTGTGATTTCTCAGTAGTTGCGGATTATCACCCGTCGACAAAGACGTGACACCGCCCAAGATGTTCAAGCAACGAACCCTCGGTCATGTGATGTACGAGACGCCGAGGTGCAAGGGACTCGACGGCGTCACCTCCGAACGTTCAACAAGTATCGGATACGGGCATATGTCACTGAATCCAGGCTGTCCTTATTATTAATAATGGACTGGCCGGATTCGCATTCAGCGGACCATCTACGGTACGAACCCTCAGTGGCGGTTGAGATGAGTTCGCGGAAGACTCAGCGACCCTTGGAAGGCACGTTCACCGTCTGGGACAGGGCGCGGACCGTTAAAGATGCTCATGCGACGGTGCAGACGACGCTTGGCATGCAAGAAGATCCATAACGGATCGTTGTTCACTTGATATTTGTATACTTGATTAGGACTTCTTATTAGGAATAGACCCGAAAGGGTAAGCTTAAATACAGAACAGAATTTCCACTCAAACACACAGAGCGACGTCCGGCTTCAAGGTAAGCGTCAGGTCAAGCTTGTTTGAGTGTGTTATGCCTGTCGGTGAACTCGAAGCTCTGTAGCGAGGGTTCATCCGGCAAGGCCAAGAGACTTTGTGTATTGGCCGATTATTATCGGGAGGTTTTACGTGACGGCTTATTGTTGCCTATTTGCACGACTGGGAGTGCTTGAATTGCCTCCTTTTTATTCTTCCAACCGCGTGTTGAACACTCGGTGACCTCGTAAAAGGCTTACCCGTGCCTGGTACCCTTCCGCTGTTGGGACCACGAGGATTCAAAACACCTGCTAGCTTTGCTCGTGCTAGTAGCGTGTTCTTATTTTTACTGGTTGGCCTATATAAGTAGTTTACAAGGTCCAGTTTGTCCCGGTGCAAGGGCAGAACTGGGGTCTTTAGGTCCGCCCGAACGATCGTTTACTATCCTAGTAGACGTATTGTTGTGGGAACATCCTAACTACATTTGTAGCTAGAGTTCACGTGGGATTTCCAACACCACAACTGGTGCCGCGACCCGGGAACATATTGTGACCATTGTGAGCTGTTTGTATGGCCTTCCAGTTTACGAGCTACCAAGAGAAGAAGAACAAGAAAAAGACAAGAAACATGGCGAAAGGACAACCGACGGTACCAGTTACGCCTGCCAAGTCTGGCGGGGCTCGCGACGAGAGTTCAAGCCCGGCTGCGCGCTTTGCAACCGCCACCGAGCTTTCAGTGAGCTTCGACGACGAAGCGGACATCGGTCCTGACGCACACGATTATGAAGATTACGAAGACAAGACGCCGGCTCCAGAGCCAGGCGCAGCGACGCCGGAGACGGCCACGCTATCATCGGGGCTGAGCGGGGCGACCAGGTCCCTTTCGAGGAACCTCGCCGACGAGCTCGATGATGTTGCGGGACCGGAACCCGCCTACGAAGATTATGACGATGGGACCGAGGGTTCTAAACCTTCGGTGGCGAGTGCAAAGCATTTAGCACTGCTGAAGGCACCTCGCCCACCTATCAACGGTGATACACCAGCCGCCAAGCGCGTTTTTGACCGCGTACAAGCGCCGATGCAGAATGATGAGTAAATGCAGCTGTTCAAGCCCATCCCCAAGAAAAAAGCCGACTGGCCTGCGCTTGGGCAGGAACTTCAATACCCAGTCAACTCGGTTTCGACTAGCCAAGTTGCCGAGGATTCAGTTTCGCGACTGTTGTCGCTGGGCTTCGAGAGCGAGACGTACCCATCGACGATGTCGCTCCAAGATTGGAGTCCACATGAAGCCGGAGCTGCTCTCCAGAAATGGAAGAAGAAACTTCGGAGGCGTTTGGCGCTGTTGGCATCAATGCCGGAAAGCAGCCTGTGAGTCGACCGATGATTCAAGATGAAGATCCGTCCACGATTCCACTGCCGCCGACGCCCCAACGACTCGTTCGTACTCCTCCGACCAAGCGTGGAGCTGAGCGTGGTGCCTTTGGCACTACCGAAGCTTCACCGTACTTTCAAGACTCGCACATGGTTACGCCACGTTCGGAGAGCCGTATGCAGCGTCTTTACGCTGGCAACGAGGGTTCGTTCGGTCGCCGAGGCGGTGCGCGAGCTCCCAAAGGTGGTGCCGGACGTCGTCAAGTCGACAGCGATGGTTCGTCCAGTGACGATGACATTTTGGTGCACATTCGACGAGGAAGATCCGCAAGTCGAGTTGATGCGGCAGATGAATGAGTTGGCGACGCTGAACGACGTGGACCCGACACCGAGGATTGAAATGGCATCGCACCGACCGTTGGATCGCATCACGCCGTTCTCAGGCTCTCGCAACAAGAGCGAGAACTGTATGCAGTGGCTCCGTTGGTTCGTCTATGAAATGACTGGAACCCACACAGATGCCGACAAATGGTGCATTCCATTTGAGCTGAGTCTCCGGGACGGAGCCATTCATTGGTTCCGTCAACTTCCGAAGAAGACGAAGCGCAAGTGGAAGCTGTTGAGCGACGCGTTCATCCGTTATTACTGCTCGCAGCTCACGCAGACGGCACTGTCACGTTACTACTCGGCAAAGCGGGAGCGAAATGAACATCTGTGCGACTACATAAACAGGCTGAACGGCTACGCTCGGACCGCCCGTCTACACTTTGAGAAGAGTGGTCGCGAAGCGAAAGAACACGTACAGCAGTTCCCTGGCCAACATGCGATGATGACAAGCTGGCGGAGAGTCCCCTACCACGCTCGAGTCGCCGACATTCACGAGCTCGAAGAGATCATCGAAGATGTTCTCAAGGGCAAGGAGAGAATGGCCAAGCGTGACAGTGAGTACCGATTCTCTAAGAGCCGTGATACGCGACGCGACGATGGATACGCCCGCAACAATCGGCGTGATGACCGTCGCCGCGATGACAACCGCAACAAACCAAGAGTGACACTCATTGAAGCCACGGTGGACGACCTACTAGCTGAATTAAAGGGTCGTGAAGCTGCTCAGGGAGGCACCGAGTATTCAAACGAAGATCCGAACGCTTACGACGATGTCCAAGATGAGTACAACGACTTTTAGCCCGATAATACGGATGGTGATTTCTCATTGGATGAAAACGACCGATACCTCGCCGCTGCTAGCGAAAATGAGCGCCGTGCAGCTGCTGAGGGCACCTACGCACGTTCAGACAACCGTCAACCGCGTGGAAACACGCCTGATCGCGAGAATGGCTTCAATCAAGATCGCCGAGGTGGTGACTGTGGGCTCAATCAGGACCAACGCGGTCGACGTGACTTCAACCGCGACAACCGACGCCCACAGTACGGACCATGCGCGGTATGCGGTGGCAGGAGTCACTCCGCCCACTACTGTAACAAGCGATGCAAGTTCTGCAAACAACTCCACGATGCTGGACAATGCGAACTTTTCCGCAACTTCCAAGACCTTGCCAAATTCGTGCGTACTAAGGGCACGAAGGAGGAACTTCCGCCAGAGCTCAAAGCCGTCGTTCAAGAACGTAATTTAAACTAGGCAGCCCGCCAACTACAACTGGGTTGGTCCCTATCGGGCTGCCACAGTTAACCGAGCCTTCAATGGAAGCAGAGTGTATCTTTGCTTTCATGGGGCAGAGTGAATGGCCTGATAAATACGTAACAAGTGTGAACGCGACGGAAAATGAAAAG